TGCATTCATCTAACAGTCGTGCTGAAACCGCAATTCCTTCTGTTGAATGTTTGTAAAAACTACATTCACATCCACGTGCGTTCATGTGAATGTAGTGCGTTCTATGAAAAGGGTATAACAAATAGGATTTAACACATTTTTTTTCCTTTTTTATCTTCCTGCTTGTCTTTCCCCATAAGACACACGTCTGTCTAGCCTTTTCTCCAAGCTCCTATGATGTTATACATACAATGTCCATGTGTACATTACAGTTTATTGTCTGTTTTCCCAAAGCGGAACTGTGTTGTATACACTTCTTAGCCTCCTACTTTCCGCAACACAGCCCCATGAGAGTCCCCCATTCTGTGTCGGTGACTGCAGAATGAAAAGCGTGCCCCTCACCCCATTCCCCAGAACTGCTCCCTGGTGTCAGACTAGGAGCACAGAACATTAAAAAAAAAAAAAAAAAAAATAGTGACAACACAAAACCACAGTTTCTTGTTTTGGCAAGCGGAGCTCCAATGAGAAGACAAGCTCTGGGCTCCCACCCCCAGAACGCAGAACCACAGAGAGTATTCTGGGAGCTTTCTGCTCGCACACCCGGATCCTCAGGGACCCTGGCCCAGCCCAGGCTCGGGGCAGCCTCCCTGCGTGCCTGGGAGTAACAGGTCTCTGCTCTCAGCCAAGGGAGCCCCTTCCCCTAGCCACCCAGAATGCTATGGTGGGCTTTTGGGGGGATGTGCAGCAATGCGGGGGGTACGGGCAGCTGAGGCTCCCCCTCTTCCCACCACTGCCCAGCCGGCATAGCCGTCACAGGATCTGCTGGCACCTGCTCCTGAGATCTCCCTCCTTGCAGGCAGGGACGCCAAACCAATCCAACCAAGAAGTAGGTGGGCTCAAGGCTCATTCAGCCTCCTCTTCAAGGGCAAAACTTCGAGCCACAAACCAACAACCTCAGCTGCCCCTCCCCCAACTTGCTGCACATCCCCCCCCAAAAAAGCCCGCCATAGCATTCTGAGCACCTACTATGTGCCTGGCACAGTTCAGGAGCTTTAACCTCAGGTTCATTTAAGCTTTGCAACACCCCTAGGACACAAGTACTATGCCCATTGTACAGAGGGGGAAACTGAAGCGCGGCAGCCTGGCCCCAGAGCCCCACATTGAAACCTCAGGCAATGAACAGACACGAAGCACAGGGAAGGAACTGCCAGCCTGACGTTTTCATTCTTCTACAGCCCTGGCCGTTTTGCGGAAGAGAGAAAAGAAGTCACAGAGGGGAAGTAACTGGAGGAAGCCCAGGCAGAGAGGGTCAGGGTCACACAGACCTGGGTCGAATTCCAGTTTTGCCACCTTCATAAATCATGTAGCAAACCCTTTGTAAGCCAGTGAAGTGGCCGGGGACATGAGTCCTGGGGTTGCTCAGATGTTGGCAGCGCTGCCTACAAGACCCAGGGAAGCTCGCTTACACTACCTTTGCCTCAGTTTCCCCATGTGTCCATGGGGATCCCAGCAGCACTTTCCCCTGAGGGATGTTGGGAAGTTTAAATAAGCTGGTTCATGCAAAGTGCTTAGAACAGTCACTGGTGCCTCCATCTCAGCTCCCCTGCAGTAACAGCTATGATGGTTGTCATCCTCATCAATACTGTCCAAGAGCACACGGCACAGGGAGCACTCAGCCCCGCGGGAGCTTCTGAATGTGGCGATCCACTGCTCAGAACCAGAAGCCAGGGAAACTTCTCTCACGGCCCCTGTGCTGTCTTCCCAGAGAGAGCCAGCATCTCTCCCAGAGGGCTGCCCCTGCCTTTCCGTGACTCACACACACACAGAAGAGGGCACCTAAGTTGTTGGTCCCCCTTGGAGGTGGGGAACGGGGTGCAACCCAGTCCCTAAAGGAAGTTGGAAAAGATGGGAAGAATCTGGGGAAAGCACAGAGTCAGTCCCAGGCCCAACAAACCACGGGCTCCTGAGCCCAGAGTTCAGATGGTCAAAACAAAATCCACTCAGAGCCCCAGCCCTCCTTTCTGTGCTGACAGGGATATCTCACGTTCTCCAGGCAGCCCTCCCGGATAACCCCTCGTCTCTGGATGCTGGAACCCTATAATCCTAATCACCTATGTTGTGTAATTATCATATAACATAAAAATTAATCATAATAACTAAATACTTATATATCTTACTGCCTGCCAGGCATGTTATAAGTGCTTTCTATGTATTTAATATAACTCATCCTTTTTTAAAAACCCTCTAAGATAAGATCTATTGTCTCCTCCCCCCCACCCCCATTTTACAGATGAGAAAAGTGAGGCTCAGAAAGGATAAGCCACTTGCCTAAGGTGACAGAGCTTGACCCCAAGTGGTCTAGTTTCAGGGCCCAGCTTTGCACTTGAATTGTTGTAAATCCCCACCTTCCACAAGACTGTCCTCCCCTTGAGGGCAGGAACCTAAGACTGGCTTTTCTGCACCTCCCACAAGTTCCGTTTGTACAAAGGCTTCCTTTTCACTGGCAATTGGAAGCTTAAAACCCGGGACCCACGGAGGCCAGGGCGGCCCCTCCATGCCTGGCTCTGCCCACGTGGAATTAAAAGCAGGGCGGGACTGCTGAGCATTCTTCCGTTCTCCCAAGCCAGGAGGTTGGGGTAAAATCCCTTAGCAAGTATAAAAGCTGGGAGGAGAGAGTGGGAAGACAGAAGAGAATCACAACCTGCAGGCTGCCAGCGTCGCTGCTGCGTGGAAAGCTTTGGTAATTAACTGTTCCCAAAGCTCGGAGCCCTGGACTTTCAACACGAAAAGGTCTTGGTTGTTGAGGGGCTGTGTCTGAGGGAGCAAACCGAGAGAAGCCTGCAGATCACAAACACGGTACGGCTGGTCGGGTTGCACAATCAGTCCATGTCTGACACCAGCCTAGTGACACCCGAAGGACAAGGCCCAGAGGGAGCCTGGATTCCCCTCCCCTCCTTTTACAAGCGGGGAAACTGAGGCCAGGACAGGTGACATGACTGGTCCAAGATGTCACAGTTGGAACAGCTCCTCTCAGCAATGACAGGTCAATAAATAGAAATTATAAACTCAGGAAATTAAAAATGCCAAGGAGATAATGTGGGAGTAGCGAGAACCTTTTTTTTTTTTTTTTTTTTTTTTTTGGTATTTCTTTAATAATAAGAATGGTTGATTCCAATCAATTTCCATTATTCCAGCTTCCTCAGACTCTACATGCGGACGATGTGAAACCACAGCGAACCCACACACAATCTATATCTGCGCCGCCCCATCTAGGGTAAGGGCTTTCTTCCCCATTAACAGAAAAATCGCTTTCCTCTCTGCCTTCCAGACCGAGGAGCGGGGAGTGGCTCAGAAGGAGAAGTGAGGAGTTCCCTAGAATCTGACATTGCTCAGAGATGGCAGAGCTGTCTACATCTTTAATTCAGAAACTGCCAGCTTCAAACTGAGCAGATCCTTTTTTTTTTTTTTTTAACTGTGAGAGAGGGAGAGATGGGTTGGGGGGGAGGGGGGGAGTTAGAATGTTAACCCTGCCTTATTCTCACAGGCCTTTCTAGATGGGTCCTTTAGCCAAATGGTTTTCAATGCCTCTGCAAAACTCAACCCCACCCCACCCCCCAACCCCGCAAACAAACACACACACACACACACACACACACACACACACACACACACACACACGCCCTCTTTTCACAGATTGAAGGGCTCTCTCCTCCCTGAGTTGGAGCTCGGACCTCACACAGCCTCAGCTACACCCCCAGCCACTAGATACCCCAGAGGATGCCAGTCTCCTCTCCCTTTTGCGCCCCCTACCCCTACCCTCCAGACTGGAAGCTGCAGAGCCTGGCTCTGGGTCCCTAAAGGAAACACCACCGCCCCCACCAGCCCTTCCTGAACCAGGATTAAAAGACTTCCTAGAGCTGAGAAGGGAGTAAATGAGGTCCCAGCAGGAGGCACGGAGATTAAAGCCCCGGAGTCGCCTAACTCTCAGAAACGCCTGGTCCGGTCCCACCCCCTCCACCGCGAAACCACTTTTCTCACTTCCTAGGAGAGTGAGGAAGCGGCCCCTTCCTCCCTCTCACAGAAGAAAGAAAAAAAAAAAGGGGGGGGGGGGCCGAAATGCAGCACAGGAGAGGGGTTGAAAGCACCAGCTGGGCCTGTCCTGCTTCAAAACCCACCATCCCTTACTAACCAGTGACTTCTGGGCACTCAGCCTCCCTGGAGCCAGACTCTCCCACCTACAACCTGGGGGGTATGCTCGTCCCCGCTTCATGGGCCACTTGTGAAGGTTAAACGTCCTGATGACACAGGCAGGCGCCGGCCACAGAGGGAGCGCTCGGTTGTTATTTTACAGATATCTGTCGCTGTGGTTTTGAAACTTAGAGATGGGAGGGGGGGAGGTGGTAAGCGTTTGGGTTGCCAAGTCGTGAGCTCTAGCCCCGCTGTCCCCAAGCTCTGGGGAGAGCGTGTGCGCGGGGGCCCAGGAGTCCTGCGCGGGGGTCTTGTCCAGGTCCGTCCACGCTCCGGGCTTTGGGCTTTGTCCTGCGCTCCTCGGCGCGGGGGGACGCCGGGCTCCAGCATTTCCAGGTTCGGTCCCGGAGGAGGACCCGGGGGTGCATCCGGGGCGGCGGCGAGGAAAGCCCTGGCGACCCGCAAGCAGCAGCAAAAGCTCCCCAGGCGCTTGGGTCGCAGAGCCCCTGCCTCGCGGATGTAACTAATTTTAAAACTATTCCAAAGGCGCGGAGGGGAGAGAAGAAAAAAAGACAAAAGGGCAGCGCGCCCGGGGAGAAACGAAGTGCGGGAGACCCCGGGACCGGGCTGGACCGCGGGGCCGGCCAGGAAGGCGACAGACCGGCCAGCTCCGGAGGAGCCCGGGAAGCCTCACTCCTCCGCGCGCCCCGCGGGGCGCCCCTGCCTGCGGCGGCTCTCGCGCCCCCCGGGATCCGCGGCCACAGGTTGTGGGGACCGCCCCGCGCCGAGGCCCCGCGCCCCGCCGGCCCCGCGCTCCCCGGGGAGGCACTCACCGACTGCAAGAAGCGCAAGGTGCCCACGTAGTCCCGCTCGGTGCCCAGGATCTCGTTGAGGACGCACAGGCGGAGGCGCAGCTGGCGCTCCGACTCCCGGGCGGCCGCGCACGGACCGGAGCCGGGCGCCGCGGCGCCGGGGGCCCGGGGGTCCGGGGGGGCACCGTGCTCAGCCCCATCGCCGCCGCCGCCGCCGCCGCGATCGCTGCCGCCGGGGACCTCCATTCTAGCGCAGCCGCGTGGCGCCGGCTCCTTCCCCCGCCTCCCCGCGCGGAGGTCGCGCCGAACGGCGACTCAGGGGTCCAAGCACCCCATCCCGGACGGGGCGCGCCGCCGGCTCAGCCGCGGGCCGGGCGCTCGGCGCGGCGGGCGGGCCTGGGGGCGGGGGCCGGGCGGGGGGCGGAGGCAGCGCGCGCGGAGGCTGGACCGGAGGCGGGAGGGGGCGGAGGAGGCGGCCTTCGGGGCTCCCAGACGGCGGGCCCCCGCCGCCCGCCCGCCTGCCCAGGGAGCGTCTGCCAAGTGCCACGCCGCGCTGAGCCGCAGAGACGCGCCGCCGCGGCGCTGGGCCGGCGACTTGGGAAGCGGCGCGGCGGATCGGGGCCGCCCGCGGCCGGCGCTCGGGCGGGAGGAACCTCCGGAAGGGGCCCGGCGGAGCTCGCAGGCTCGCGCACGAACTCTGCCCCCGATCGCGTGGCGCCCCCACCCCCGCCGCGGGCTACGCCACTCCCCGCGGCACAGGCGGCACCCTGCGCGCCCAGGCACACGCACGCCGGTCCGGCGCCGCGGCCGCTGCGGGGCCGAGTCCACGCCGGGCTGGAAAAGCTGGCGGCGGAGAGCTCAGGAGCAGCCCGCCCCGACACGCGCGCCCCCGCCGGCCCCAGGAAGAGAGGGGAGGCCCCGCGCGCGCGATGGCACCTCTGGGACACCCAGCCCTTTCGGTGCCCTGGGGCACGGCCACGACCTTGGGGAGAAACACGCGTGATTCCTTCTCTCTCTCTCTCCTTCTCTCCCTCTCTCCCTCTTTCCCTCTCTCCCTCTCCCTCTCTCTTCTCTCCCTCTCCCCCTTCCCTTATTTTTTCCTTCTCTCCTGCCTTTTTTTTTCCTTCTGAACTTCCCATGAGCAGAGCCTACCCTTTCCACATTCCCCAGAAGGAGTGATCTGCTCTGTTACTGATTGACAGCTGCCCTGCCTGAGCCCCCTTCCATCCACTCTGCCAGGGATGAGGTCTTCAAGTCCAGGCTGCTCTGTGTGACAGATGGCTTCACCCGCCTCACAGGAAGGTCTGATGCTCAGGTTCAAATCCCATCTCCCCCACATGCTAGCTGGGTTTCCTTGCCTCAAGAGCCTTAGTGTTCTCATCAATGCAATGGGAATAAAAATAGTACCTAGCTCCCAGGGTCCTTCACACTTTTATGTGTAAATCCATAGGGAGTTTTTGGAGCAGTGCCCAGCACTTAGAAAGTTCTCTATAAATGTTTATTCTTAATTAGTATTATGTGTATAAACAGCCCTCTTGGCCAGACCTCATTCTCCAAACTGCCCATATAATCCTGAATCACTGGCCAGAGATTTTATTATCTCCTCAATGGATTAGCCATTTCACATAATATCCCCCGGTAGATTATAATTACCCTTTAGGTAGGAACATTATTGCTTATTTATTTTCTGTTCCAAACTCCCAGGATTGTACTCCCACTGGCCTCTGGGGAAATACTGGGACGGCCTAAAGACATAGGACAAGAGTGGGGTGGCTTTGTTCCTTTGGGCTCATGGACAAGGTGGCATTTGATCTGGGCCATGGGTAAGTGAAGCTCCCCTGGGCAGGTACTAGAGGATGTGAGACGGGTGAACCTTCCAGGTGTGGGTAGTGGAGTCAATTACGTTCAAAAGGTGGCTGCCTGCTAAGGTTCTCAGAAAATTGTAGAGAAGTTTGGAGTAGCTATCCTGTATGACCTTAGACTGATCACAACACTTCTCTGAGCCTCAGTTGCCTCATCTATAAAATGGGAACCTTTGTAAGAGAAAAAAAAAATGTGTGTAAAACAGGGTTCCTCAACCTCAGGACTGTCGATGTTTGGGGTGATTCTTAGTTGTGGAGCGGCATCCTTTGCTTTGAGAACATTCAGCAGCATCCTGTACCCACTGCACGCCAGATACCAGTAGCACTCCCTTCCCAGTTGTCTCCAGACTTTGCCAACTGTCCCCTGAGGGACAGAATGGCCCCCAGTTGAGAACCATTGATAGAAAATATCTGACAATAAATGGCACAGAGTAAGTGGCAAATAAATGTTAGCCAGCTGCCCAGCTGTATCCGTGGAAGATTTCCTTCACCTTCAGAGGAATTTGCTATTATGTATACATACACACACACACACACACACACACACACATCATACATCACCCAAGAATTGGCCCACGCTGCCAAAAAGACCATCCAAACATTTCCATACTTATGGGAGGAGCCCACCCTTGACTCACCCCCAACCCTTCTAGATTCTGTTAATCCCTCTGATCCCTCTGGAATATTTCTCCCCACCACCCCATCCCCAGTGAAAAATGATACAACTTTTAATAAATTACTTCAGCTCTCTGTGCCTTCTTTTCCTCATCTGTGAAGATATCATAAGGTAGTTGCAAAGATTCCTAAGTTAATACACAGAAAGTGCTTAGAGCAGAATACGTGCTCAATAAGTGAAGACTTACTTATTCAACTCGGGGGTTGAGTGCTGAATTCATTTGGCTGCAGTTGGCAGCAAGGAGGAAACAAGTGGGCTACTGGTGGGTTAAAACATAAAGACATTGCTTATCTGACAAAACATCCAAAGGAGATTGGTTCCTCTGGCCGGTTCAGGATTTGGTGACATCATGAAGGACCAAGGTACCCTCAACCCTGCCACCCCCGTCAATGGTGGCTTTTCTCCCAAGTCTTAGAGCCTCCGTTTCACAAGATGCTACTCAATGGCAACATCGCCCGCTAAACAATAACTCTAAAGCAGGAAAGAAAAGAAAAAGGGGGCAGGGGGGTGAAGCTCTCCTCTGGCCTCTCATCAGAGAGAGAAAACTTTCCCCAAAGTCCCCGGCATACAGACTTTCTCTTATACCTCACAGGCCAGCCCGAGTCTCATGACCACCCTTAAATAGTCCCCGACCAAAAGCAGGGTTGTCACTATCAAGTTAGAACAGTCCTGCTCCATCTCCCGGGACATGGCTGCCTGGACAACCTAGGTTCTGTTGTCCAGAGAGAAGTGTCTGCCACAAGCACCTACTATGGGCTGGGCACTGAGTGAGATCCTGGGGTTACAGAAGTGATAAGACCAACAACATCAGGCCCTCGGGCAGGAGTCCAGCAGTGAGCACAACAGATAAGGCTCCTGCCCCCCTGGTGCTTCCAGTCCAGAGCAGGGGGAGAGGGACAATAACCAAATTAACAACCAATCAATGAGCACACAAACAAGCAAGATCCTTTCAGCTTCTCCAGAGTTGGTTGGTGGCACCTTCAGGCCTCTGCATCAGGTGACTGCCTACTCAGATCACATGACTCAACCTGGGGCTCAGCTCTGGTATCATCAATGGGGACTCCCTTGGTCCAGGGCCTGGCTGCCTCCCAGCTATTTCTGGCACAGTGCAACTCAAGGAACAAACATGACTAAGCAACACAAGCTGGGGGAGGTTTTTCTTACTCCTGTTTCAGCCTTGGTCTCTCCTCCCTCCTTTCCCACTGCCTCCCCCAATAACCTCCAGGATCTCCAGTAGGGAGCCCTTAGATCCTTGTATATGTCCAGGGCAGGGCCTAAAATAGGCCATAAATGGGAAACATTCATGAAAAGATCAGAGAAGGGGGGGGGAAAAAAAACAGTTTGGGGGTTTGGGAGGAAAACCATGATAATGATAAGGAAATTCTCTCCTTCAGGGACACTGTAGAGTTTCTGTTGCCATGCACTTCACAAATAGTGGGAAATACCATTTTGTTTCTATTGCATAAGTTTCACAGTTGCAGGGAAGAAAATGCTGCTTGGAAACATTAGATAGTTCCTCATTCCATGATAAGATGCTTTCAGATTCTGCAGGCTCAGGATTCCAAGGCTCCTTTCTCAAGCCCTGCTCAAAAACAAGAAAATACGAGGAAAAAGAAGGGGTGATTTGGTCCACCCCTAGTTGAACGAGCCAGGTGAGAAGTGAGTATTCAGACTACCTAGGATTACCAGTCATTTCCCAAAAGCAAAAGAGTTCTCCGTAAGTCAGGCCACCTACCCAGGGAGTCCTTTCCCCATTCTGAGAACCAATTGCAGCTTTCTGAAAAGAGGAGCCACCTCCAAACTTGGCATTGGTCAGAACAGCTGACAGCCCAACCCAACGCTAGACACGCAGGCCAGGGTTCATTTCTGCAAACCAAACTGTAAGGCTCTTCCTGATCATTTTAATTGAGCCACCCCCGAAAAAATGCCCAAGTCAAATCTTCTCCAAAGGAAGCCTTGCTGTTGGGAACAGATCTCTCCAGAAGATTCTGGTTCGAGGTTTGATTCAAACAAAATAGATACCAGATTACATTGGGGCTCCAGAGCCTTGCCAATTGTATCCCTGCCTGGAGGAAATACAGCCTGGAGGAAACAGAGAAGGACAGGCTTAGGACCCTGAGTTTGAATCCCCACTATACCACTGATATGTGTGCCTTCTCCTTTCCCAGCCTTTGGACATTATTGTACCTGTAGAAACCCACTTCCTCGGTTCAAATCTGAGCCCCACCACTTCCCTATTGTGTGTGTGTGTGTGTGTGTGTGTGTGTGTGTGTGTGTGTAGCTTTGTGCAAGCAACTTAATTTCTCTGGACTTTGATGGGGACAATAAGAGTTCTAACCTCACAGAGTTGTTGTGTAGAATAAAATAGTTCATAGATCCAATGGGCTCAGAATGCCGCCTGACACTCACGTAAGTGATAGCTATTGTAACGGGGGGGAGGCCATGATGTTTGGAGGCCTGGCAACTATCTTGACACCATGAGGAAGGACCATTGCTAACCAGCTGAAGATGGCAAAATGATAGATGGAAAGAACCTGAATCTTTGATGTCACTGAGCTCCTGAATTAACCAACTATGGAGCCATCCCTACCTCTGGATGTCTTGTATATTAAGTTAATAAAATAATTTCATTAACTTATTTTTTTAAACCAGCTGGGTCAAATTTCCTTTACTTGCAGCCAAAAGATCCCAACTGATATGCCTGTCTT